AGGCCAAGGGTTAATCTCTTTTTCCTATAGAACCTATGGAATATAGATTATCCACCTGCCCTACAACTGTTTCCTTTTGGGGAAAGACATGAATAGATTCAAGAACAAAGGTGGGGAACGAAAGTAATAAACATGAATTGAGAGAATTTACCACTAAGAAACAGTCACTAAAATACTATAGGATGGACTTTAGGGAGTAGGAAATTGAACTTGGAGGAAGAAATGAGACATACAAATAAACATTGAAAAAAGAAGCAATATGAAGTACCATTAACTACATAAAACAACAACAACAACAATAATAATAACAGAGGGCATATGTAAACAAGGTGGTATTAAAATGTGTAAGAAGGGCAGTGATGGTAGTCAACATAAAAGAATTTTATTTATTTATATATTTATCTTTAGAGGGGAAGGGAAGGAGAGAGGGAGAGAAACATCAATATGTGGTTGCCTCTCATGCATCCCCTGCTGGGAACTGGCCTGCAACCCAGGCATGTGCCGTGACTGGGAATCGAACCGCAATCCTCTGGTTTGCAGGCCCGCGCTCGATCCACTGAGCTACGCCAGCCAGGGCAACATAAAAGAATTTTTAATGTCCTGTGTTCTTTGGGAGAAGAATTAAGATATCTAATAACTCTAGACAGTTTAGATTTTTTTTAAAGCTTTAAAATAGAACCACTATTGGGACAGAGACAGTGACTCATAATAAAAGGAACACAAAGACGATATGATTCTTAATTTTTATGTAGCTAGCAGCACAGCATTAAAATCTAAAGCAGCCCTGGCTGGTGCAGCTCAATAGATTGAGCGCTGGCCTACAAACCTAAAGGTCACCGGTTCAATTCCCTGTCAGGGCACATGCCTGGTTGTGGCCCAGGTCCCCAGCTGGGGGCGTACGAGAGGCAACTGATTGATGGTTCTCCCTCACATCAATGTTTTTCTCCATCTCTTTCTCCTTTCCTTCCCATCTCTTTGAAAATAAATAAATAAAATCAAGAAAGAAGAAAGGGAGGGAGGGAGGGAGGGAGGGAGGGAGGGAAGGAAGGAAGGAAGGAAGGAAGGAAGGAAGGAAGGAAGGAAGGAAGGAAGGAAGGAAGGAAGGAAGGAAGGAAGGAAGGAAGGAAGGAAGAAAAAATCTATAAAGCAAAACTTGACATAGCTACAGGGAAAAACTAACAAAACCCAGTCATGGCAGAGATTTTTTTCAACATACTTCAATAAGAACTGATAGATCAAATAGTCAAAAATTTAGTAAGACTAGAAAAGACCTGAACGATACAATTAACTAGTTTGAATTAATGGACCAGAACTATCCACTCAACAAATAAAACACAGATAGATGAGTTTTAGAAATTTACCAAATACTAGGCATGTCTTAACAAATAACAGAGACTTGATTTTGTACAGGCATATTTCTCTGATGACAGTGAAATTAAGAAACATTTATCTTAGGAAAGAAGACAAAAAATCTAAGCTTCCAACTCAGGAAAAAATTTTTAAAGTACATAACAGTGTGAGAATATAAGAAAGGACATACATACAGTCGCTGAAAATGATAAATGAGAACAGATACAAGAAAACAATATAAACAAAGCAACAGCTTTAAAGATAAAGAGAACAGTGTGGATAGCAGAAATAATAAACTTTTAAATGACTTTTACAAAGTAGACAATTTCCTAGAAAAATTAAACTTACCAAAACTGGCTCATGGAAAAACAGAAAACGACAGAAAGAACTTAGTGACAGATGAGATGTGGGAATGAAAGAGATGCTGCTGATGACTGCCAGGCCTCTAACTCGGCGGGCTTATGCGGGTGAGCTCTATTTATGCAGAAGGAGGAAACTAGAAGAGAAGCATTGGAGCGGGTTGGATTTCATTTTAGTTGGTTTGTTCTTGCTTTTGTTTTTGTTTTGTATGCATGTACATATGTGGGGGGTGCTAGTGGTGGGGTGTGCATAAGTCATAATCTTAATGGCTGTGTTTGGATGTTAAAATAGAGGTTCCTTTAAGATACATATATTTAACACCTCCAAATATAAGGAGATATTAAGTATGCAGTTAAATCTATGGATCAGGAAGGAGCTCAGGAGAGATCTGGGTTGCAGATACCTATGGGAGTTACCTGTATTTAAACGATAATTAAAGCCAAAGGTATGACTAAAATACTGTAGGCAGATAGAGCACTGGTTCTCAAAACATGGTCCCTCAACTGGGAACCTAGGCACCGCCTGAGTAACCACCCTGGACCTACTGAATCAGAAACCCTGAGAATGGGGTCCTGCAATCTGTATATCAACAAGCGCTCCGGTGATTTTGAGGCAGACTAAAATTTGCGAACCACTGATAAGAAATGTCAAGAGGTCTTGGGGCTATGCCTTGAGGGCTTCAACACTCAACAGAGCAGGATAGATGGGGAACAACAGGAAAAGGGGAGTAAGAAAATGAGGAAAGAGCCCTGGCTGGTGTAGGTAGCTCAGTGGATTGAGCGCGGGCCTGCGAACCAAACAACTGCGGTTCGATTCCCAGTCAGGGCACATGCCTGTGTTGCAGGCCAGTTTCCAGCAGGGGACACACAAGGGGCAACCATACTTTAATATTTCTCTCCCTCTTTCCTTCCCTTCCCCTCTAAAGATAAATAAATAAAATTGAAAAAAGAAAATGAGGTAGAGTGGCAAAGATAAGATACCACTTACCATACAAAGCCTCAAGGGAGTGGGATGGGCTGAGGAGTGAGCAGAAGTTGAGTAAATAGAGATAGTAAGTACAGACAATTCTTCAACGGGGGGCAAAAAGGGTGAAGATGAAAGACCTTGAAAAGGGAAGATTTAAACAAAATAGAACAGCAACAAGCATGATGAGCTGCTAAGGGGAGGAACCTGGTGGAGAGGCAGAGAGTACACAGGAGAGACGGGGAAGGGACAGTGATGGCACACCCAGGGGGCAACGAAGCCATCTGCCTCAGCAAGAGGAGCCTTTCATTACTGAGAGTGTTGAGAACTGCTATACATGGTAACAATAAAAAGTAGGCCATTTTCTGGTTGGTTTCATTACTGCTTTATACATTCGTACAGATCCTGCACCCCTTACTCCTGGGGTGGCCCACTCCCACTGCCCTATCCTTGGTGTCACTGGATGATAGTACAAAGTTTCTGAAGAGGGAGAAGGGGAGGGGACTTAAAACACAGGTGGAAGGACTACCCTTGGGTAAGAGGGATCGACTACCTTCTTACCCAGAATGAAGCCAGTAAACAAGACAGACACAGATGTAGCAAGTGCAAAGTCTGGTGGCAGGAATCTGAAGGAATGCCTTCAAATGGGTTCGATTTCCCCCATGAGGTTATCTTTAAGACCACCCCTATTATCAGATGGCTGCGTCACATTCTCTTGGCCTACAGCAATTAAATATCTCATCTGTAGTATTCATACTCACCAAGCAACCTCCTATTTGTGATCTGGCCTCCAAAGGGGCAAGAATGTGCTGACTACACATATTTAAGTATGTCTCAGTATTCTCTCATAGTAAATTGATCACTGGTTTCTATGTAGCCTGACTACAGATAATAGACAGAACATAGTCCTTTTTATAATTACATTTCTAAGTGAGTTATTTCTTAGGATCTGATTGCTTTTGCTCAAAGTGAGTGACTAAAGTAAATTTCTGGGCCTACCGAGGAGGCATGGGGCCAGATCCACAATTCACTGGCCAATCAGAGTATTCCCCTTCGCCTTCATGTCTTGCTCAGCAAAAGCTGGCTTGTGTTAGCTGTCACTGGCCCAATTTCTACCTCTTCTCTCTTGAATTCATTTCTATATCCACCTGTTCATTAAGATATTTTAAACTGGCTGTCACTGAATTGACCTATTAATGTTTGTAGGGAGGAATTTCTAAGAATAATGCAGGAAATAAAACAAAGATTTCAGTGAAATATATTGATATACCACCATTATTCATTTATTATTCTTATTCATTCAACAAATATCTACAAACTATATACCCTGCACAAGGTTAGATTATTAGAATTGTTACAAAGTTCTCAAGAAATTAAAAGCAATAACCTCCACAAAGAATAGGCTTATGGAAATGGGCTTTGATTGAAGGAGGGAAATTAGAAATAAAAAGAAATTCCTTATAGTAAAGGTGATTAAAGCAGAAATAAGCTTTCGAAGGAAATCCTGAAATTGAGCACCTAAAAATACAACTTAGAGACAGACAGCCTTGCCTGGAAGCAAAGGTTACAGACACCCCTCTGGAATTAAGCATAAAAGTAACTCAGAACTTTCTGATATATAAAGAACTGCTACTCTCTTAGTAGAAGGAATAAGTCAGGCTGTGAATTAATTTAAAAGTCCATTTAGGGTTCTTACCCCCAAATCCTGAGGCACTCCAGTCCTTGAGTTGCCTTGCAATGCTTCCTTCCCTTTTTTTAAAAGATTTTATTTATTTCGTCTTAGAGAGGGGGGAAAGGAGAGAAATATCTATGTGAGAGACAAGCACTGATCAAGTGCCTCTGGCATGTGCCCCTACTGGGGACCAAATCTGAAACCTAGGCACGTGTCCTGACCAGGAATCAAACTGGTAACCTCTCACTTTGCAGGCTGATGCCCAACCAACTGAGCTATACCAGTCAGGGCTGTCCTTCCTTCTTATCTTTGTTCCCTTTGCTCCTCCCTGTCACAGTCTGTGCTCTGGCATAAATATGATACAGTTTTTCCAGGACCTGGAATTTTCTGCCATTGAATGTATCAGCTTTGCACAGTCAACACTATCACCCAAGCTCTGTAAAGGACTTGATGACCTTGAGTATTTGAAAAGTGCCTAGCACACAGCAGATACTCAGTTAAGATTCATTTCCTCCTTTCTTTCCTTCCGTTTTTTTCGCTCCCCTGGTGAGGAACGGAAGAAAAAACAGGAACCAACAAAAGACAGATCTCCTGTAAAAGAGCATTCTTTGGTGTCAAAATACTGAAAAGGTTTAAACCACTTCTCATTGCCTACCTTGTGTCTGCGGGATGTAAGGAGACAGGAGTTTTGACCTTTTCTTCTCATATCCTTTCTGTGTGATGTCCCCTAAAATAGCAAGAAACAAGAATATGTGATACATTATTCTTACACTGTGCCTGTTCACTGTAAAAATAAAATTAATTACAGAGCATTACAGAAGTACCACACAGAGAGTAAGAAAAAGTATATAGTTCTTTGCCAGGGATTTTGCTATGTGTGATTTCGCACAGGCGTGGAGCTGACTTCTTGTGGAAAATTGCAGGGCTTGTCCTTACACCAACCTAGCATAGCAACATGCTGCATACCATGTCAGAGGTTCCTGAGTTCCCAGGTACCCCTTGTTTCCTCAGTATTTAAGATATACCAAAACAAAATACTACAAGGCTGACTTTTTTTTTACCTATCCGAAGTTTCAGTTTGGCCCAATGAATACAATTGACTTGAGAGGTATTCAATGATATTGCTATATAGATTCACATAAAATCAAAAGTACAGTTAAGGGGAGAAGTCCTAGTTCGTGCACTGGGATGGGATATTTGAAAGGCCCTTTCTGCAACTCGGCACCGTCTGGGAACCTGGGGCTGGAACCCCCATATCCTCTTCCCTCAGTTCACTGATCTGTATTTATATACATGCATGTCTTTTTCACAAGATTAAATTTTAAAGTATACATAATGCACACAAAAAGTGCATGTACAATAAATGTAATAAAACAAACTGATTAGCAGCAGAGAAAATGTGTGATTAAAGTATCGAGAAATGTGCTAGGTACTAAAGAAAAGGTAGCAAAGGGATGTGTAGAGTGCAGGGTTAAAAGGAATTGGAAATGCAGGAGAACAAGAGGCCATTCAAGGGAGAATGAGTAATTCAAAGTGGGGGAAAATATATGTGGTGAGGTAACATAACAGAGCATTGTTTTCCAAAACAGAATTTTTCTTAGTCAGATAAAACTTTATTTAAAAGTCAAATTTTAGCCCTGGCTGGTGTAGCTCAGTGGATTGAGCACGGGCCTGCGAACCAGACAATCGCCATTCGATTCCCAATCAGGGCACATTCCTGGGTTGCAGGCCAGTTCCCTGCAGGCCAGTTCCCAGCAGGGGACGCACGAAAAGCAACCATACATTGATGCTTCTCTCCCTCTCTCCTTCCCTTTCCCTCTAGAAGATAAATAAATAAAATCTAAAAAAAAAATAAAAAAATAAAAGTCAAATTTTAGTATAAAGAGTAATTTATATATTCAAATTTACATTTACCTATTAAATACTCAATGTGCAGGAGACAGGGGCTACATTTTGATGGACACAGATGTGAAATCAGGAGTGATGGATGCCAGCTGCCACTGGCCTCTGCATCCGACCGTGGAGCAGAAGGTGGGGAGGCGCAGGGCTCACTGACAGGCCTGCCCAGGGGGAAACACTCCCAGACTGCCCAGCGCAGCCAGTTCACTCTTCCTGAGGACATGGGGTCCAAGAGGAGCAGCTAGAGAGATCAGTTCCCCCAGTGCTACTACAGCAATCACAGGGCACTTTAGTAGTAGCTTAAAGGCAGTGGTAGAAGAGATGAAAAGTGAGTGGATCAAAAGAGACATTTGGAAGGAAGACTGCATAGGATTTGACGACTGGTTGGATGTAGGAAGGAAATGATGATTTCTGGCTTCAGCAATGAGGCAGATGGTGATGTTCTTTGACAGAAATGTAGCAAGAAGTGTCATGTTTGCTGGATCAAAGTAAATGATAGATGAGCTTAGGAAAAGCCTATGATGAGACATACAAGAGGAGATGTCCACTTAACAGTTGGATAGATGGGTCTAGAACTCAGGAAGGAAATGCAGCTTTGAGATCATCAGAATATAGTTCTGAAAAATAAATTGATACAATCTCTTAGTAATTTGGCCACTGCTATCAAAATTTTGATTCAGCCACTACACTTCTAGGAATTTATTCAATGATAACATTCACATGGGTACACAAAATCAGCGAAGAATATTCCCTGACCCATTCTTTGTAATGGAAAATCTGAAAGAACTCTTTTTCTTTTCTTTTTTTTTTTAAAGATTTTATTTATTTATCTTTAGAGGGGAAGGGAAGGAGAGATGGAGAGAAATATCAATGTATGGCTGCCTCTCGTGAGTCCCCTGCTGGGAACTGGCCTGCAACCCAGGCATGTGCCCTGACTGGGAATCGAACCGCGATCCATTGGTTCACACGCCCGCGCTCAGTCCACTGAGCTATACCAGCCAGGGCTGAAAGAACTCTTGAGGCTTGCACTACAGACCATCTACATTCACAGTATTCAGCAGGAGTAATTGTGTCCCTGCCCCCCTAGACAACTCACAAGGTCTGGACACATTTCTGTCACAACTAGAGGAAGGGGTGTTACTGGCATCTGAGGGACAGAGGTCAAGGATGCTGTTAAGCATCCTGAAATGCACAGGACAGTCCATAACAAAGAATTACCCAGTACAAAATGTCGACAGTGTTGAGAATGAGAAACCCTAATCTACTTAATAACATGCGGGTATTTCAACTGTATTGTGGCACATGAAGATGGCTAAAATATATTAAGAATAAAACGCGTGTTACAGAGCAGTAGATATAATAGGATCTAATTGTGTACTTAAAAAAAATAGGAACTGCCCTGGAACTGAGTGTGGCTCAGTGGATTCAGTGCTGACCTGCGAACCAAAGGGTTGCTGGTTCCGTTCCTGGTCAGGGCACATCCCTGGGTTTTGGGCCAGTAGGGGCACATGAGAAGCAACCACACATTGACGTTTTTCTCCTTTCTCTCCCTCCCTTCCCATCTCTCTCTAAAAAAAAAATACAAAAACTCTTCAAAAATATAGTAATAGATATGTTTGCATACATATACAAAATAGTCTAGAAGACTATATATAGACTAAATTAATGTTTACCCTTGCATGGATGAGATTATGAAAGATTTTCTACTTGTTCTATATAACAGAGGTTGATTTATAAAATAAGTGTGAATTATTTGTATAATCTCAAAAATATATCTTTAAGAATGAATGAGTCTACAGAAATATATCTGTTCACAAGATAGGATGGTCACAATGTGTAACAGGACAAAAAGACATGACACTAAACAGTTTATACAGTATATTCAATTTTTGGATTAATAATATTTTTACACACACATGTGCATAGAAACTCTGGGTTTTCATTCAGCAAACTATTACCTGTGGTTAGCTATGGCTTGCAAGAGTATGGGTTGGCCTTAGCTTTTTTTCCTTTTTGCTTGCCTTTATTTTCTAATTTTTCCACAATGAACACCGATTATTTCAAGAAAAAATTAATATTTTATTTTACTTTTTAAAAGATTTATTTACTTATTTATTCATTCATTTATTTATTTATCTTTAGAGGGGAAAGGAAGGAGAGAGGGAGAGAAACATCAATGTATGGTTGCCTCTTGTGCGTCCTCTGCTGGGAACTGGTCTGCAACCCAGGCATGTGCCCTGATTGGGAATCGAACTGCAGTTGTTTGGTTCACAGGCCCACGCTCAATCCACTGAGCTACACCAGCCAGGGCAAGAAACAATAAATATTTTAAAGCTGCAATAGTGACAACTTACAAGGCTGCACAAATTTAATCGTAATAGCCCTTCATTTCTGTTTCTCTACTAAAATAAGAGAAATCCACAGTACGTTTTTTAAAAAAATTAAAACCAAACCTTTTCAAATTAGCAAACTACATCCATCTGTTCATTAAGATATTTTAAATGTGCTATTACTGCACCGACCTACTAGTTTTGTAGAAAGGAATTTCCGAGAATAGTGTAGGAAATAAATAAGAAAACCTCCCAGAAAGATACTGGTATACCACCATAGTTCACTCACTTATTCCACTAGTCATCCAACAAATATTTACAGACTATATACCTCATCCAAGGCTTGCTGTCAGACTGTGGAGGTATGATGCTCCAACACCAGAGACAACCAACAAGAGAGGTGGGAGCCTATCAAGGAAACATTCCTTGAAACAGGAAATTGTGTCTTTTTTTATTGTAAAAGAAACAAAAGAGCATTCTCCTGTCCCAGAAGATTCCCCACCTCCACATCTCTTTCCCCCTCCCTCCATCCCTAGGGGACATTCTCCATCCCTAGGAGAAAGACCACTTCTGCTGGCTCAGAACACATCTGATAAAGTAAAAGGCTTTTAAAAGCGTTCTTCAGTGCTTAGAGTCTCAATCATTCACTGTCAATAAATTATCATGGGACAAACTGTTAGACCTGGTATCTTGGACATTAATCAACCATCTCAGGTTTTGAAAAAGTCAATCACGAGAGTCTAATTTAGCTACGGCAATTAGCTCCATTAAATCCGTAAATGAGCAAAGACATTAAGGAGCCCGACAAGATAAACTGCAATGAGAATGTGAGGACTAGGGTGATGGGCCATATACTAACTTAAAAAATGTCCTCTCCCTTTTCTTTGACCACAAGGCTCTGCTCTAAAGTCACCTTCTTAGTGATGTCTGCCACCACTTTAACGTTAGCCACTTCTTCTTGGTGCCCCTACAACTCTGCACACTTCTATCATACACTCAGCATAGCACCGACATTTTAATCATTTGTGTACACATCCGTGTCCCTACTAGACTGTGCACTTGAGGGCAGGAATTATGTCTGTTCTCCTCTGTAGCCTGCCCATGGCCTGGCACAATAGACACTTGTTGAATGAGAAACTGAATGAATTAATAAAATAGAGGCAGTGAGAGAACAATAAATCAAAGAGACATGTGTACTTGAGTGGAAAACTGGAAATGGGAGAAAAATAGGTCTTTACATTAGTAGGAGCTGAAAGGCTCAGGGAGAGAAATCCAGTGAACCAAAGGTTTATTGAAACTTGACAGCTAGACTTCAAAGATGGCCAAAAAAGCAACACTTGGCCTGCCTGAAGAGGGAAATGCACATAAATCACTGGGCACTAAAGAATCATGTCTGGAGTGTGCTGGGTAGTGTGGAGTGAGAAGGGTAGAGACAGGCGAGGGGAAGAATGCTGTCTCAGCGATACGGCCTCAAGGGACAGCGTGGAACCTCCGGAGC